CTTAGGGGCTATAAGAATGTCATCCATATAATGTAAAATATAAAACTCAGTCAGCAAAGGTCTGCAGGCATAGGCCACATAATATTGGCAGATAGTAGGACGGTTTTTCATGCCCTGAGGCAAAACCTTCCATTGATAGCATTGAACTGGAACATTATGGTTAGTGGCAGGTATATAGAAGGCAAAATAGGGCTTATCTTCAACATGAAGAGGAATAGAGAAGAAACAGTCCTTGATATCTATTATAATAATTGAACATTCTTTGGGAACAGCAGTTGAGTGAGGCAGTCCTGGTTGAAGGGTCCCTAAAGCCTTCATATGCTCATTAATAGCTCTTAAATCATGTAAAAGTCTCCATTTTCCTGATTTTTTTGTATTACAAAAATGGGAGAATTATGAGGACTAAGGGAGGGCTCAATATGACCCAAGGATAACTGTTCCTGGACCAAAGAGATCAATTTAGTTAATTTATGTAAAGGAAGAGGCCACTGCTCAACCCATATGGGAGCTTTAGTGTCCCATGTTAGTTTGATGGGGGGCGGCTTGGGCAGCGGAGCAGTCGACATTAGAATTGGGGGTGAGGATGGGGGCGCATTAACTAACCACTGGTCTACAATGCAGTCATCATAAAAGGCTTTGTCATTGGTAGTTAGAACAACCTCCATATTGCAGAGGATATCTCTCCCCTACAGGTTATGGGGAAGCCCTGCAGCTAGGAGCAATTTAATAGCTCCCGTATTACCATCTGGGTCAGTCCAGACCACAGGATGTTGGACCTGTAAAGTATTTTGTAAGACCCCAACACCTTGTATAGGGGGTCCAGTCTTATGGGGCCAATGAGTTAAGGCTTCTTCCTGTCTGATTACAGTAATATCAGCCCCTGTATCAATTAGGCCTTTAAACTTTTGGCCATTTAGGGAAAGTTGCATCCTAGGCTTATGCAAATCAATAGGCATCGTCCATTGGACATGGGGGGTGTATTCTGTTACTTCCTCTCTTTGGGGTGGGGCTGAAAGGTGCCCCGTTGCCCGTTTAAAAGCACCTTTTGTATGGGTTTACCATCTGCATCCACCTTAGACCTACATTCTCTTGTGCAATGAAAGCCTTTG